AGAAAGCAGAAATCTGATAGAAAAGTGTTACATTAAAGCTAATTCATTTTGCCTAAATTAAGTTTTTAAAATCCTTAATGCTGTAAGTAAAAAAAAAAACCTCACATGGGCATTTATAAAACATAACAAACGAAAAGTAGCTAATGCTAAATCAAGCCAGAGCTCAGAGCTAGCGACCAACCGGTAGCCTCGGTATCAGCAAACAAAACTATTATGAGGAAAATCATTTATTTATTTAGAGTGTAAAAAGAAAAAAAAAGGTAGACATATAAACATACTGGTAAATGATCTAACTTATTGCAATTTGGGGGAAAGTAAAGTTTAATAATATATTTTAATATGAAAATAACATTTTAAATTTAGGAAAAAGTTTATTTTTGTTTGTATATGCTGTCAGTTACAGGCAGGGGAAAAAAGGAAACTGGCCTACAAAATTGTAATCAGTGCATCTCTGTAAGTAGCTTTTAGAGTGAACAGCAACATATAGGTTTGGTATATTACTTTAGTTGTTTAATCTGAAAAGAAAATTAAATTTAAAAAAAAGCTTCATGAAGTTTGGTTGATCAGAAATACTTTCTCCGTCTGGAACCTGAAAGGTCCTTTTCCTCTCTGAAAACGTCAAAACTCAAACCGTTTACAGCACTGAGTTTGAGAAACAGTTAATTAAATGCATTTTTTACTATTGATTATTTGAACTTAGTTAAGCCTTTAAAGCATGTTTTCAAGCAAAACTGACTAAATGTTTCCTATTTGTGGATTTTCACTTCTGAAAATACTAAAAAGGCAAAATAATTAATTGACTAATCAATAATTAAGCTCACTGTGGCAGCTTTAGTACAGCTAAACATTTTCAAATGAAGCCCAGATATTATTGTTATATGTGAACTAAATCATAGTACCAGTATTTAGTAAAATACCAGCCATGTTTTTCACACTGCTGGGTGACACATCTGAGGCGGCACATTCCCTGTAGATGTTAGAATCGACTCTGAAAACAGCATCAGGGTACTAAAGTTGAGCAGAAAGGAAAAGTCTGCCCTTTTCATTCTCTTCGTTGTCTCGCTTATATGTCCTCCTCCTCTCTTTTTGTGTCTTATGGAGGTTTGACAGAAGTTTCTCTCATCCCTGCTGGCAGCAGTTGCCATGGTTGTATCAGTGCCTCTGAATTACATGCAATGATATTTCCATGGACACAGATCAGGAGGACACTGGGCTTTGAGATGTAGGAGGGAGGCAGCTTACCAATGTCAGCAGATCTCTGTGTTGGACTGAAGGAGACTGAGTGAACGGGATGTTAAACAGAGAGGAGTAGGAAACAGAAAAGGAGGGAGAGTGCTAACCAGGGACAGTTTTATGTTTTAGTACAAATTTAGCTTTTCAGTTCACCTAAGTTTAGTTTATGCAACAGCCACCTGAAGGTATGGTGGGGTCTCCACAATAATATAGAGAAACCCAATGAGCTGCACTTGGCAAAAGTGGAAAGGTAGAGCTCCCTTTTAACAGGTAGAAACCTTCAGCAGATCAGAGCTCAGGGAGCAGCAGCCATTTCTATGGTGCATTTAGCAGAATATCATCACAGCTGAGCACATGGTGGGGATGGATATTTCCAACTAAGATTACAAGCTTATATGTATATATATCTCACACACACACACACACACACACACACACACACACACACACACACACACACACACACACACACACACACACACACACACACACACTTAAATGATACTGGCTCCTTAAATTTTACTGGCATCAGCCCTAAAAACCGTGATGAAAAAATGATAGGAAAAAATTAGGAAAAAATTAAATAATTGGAAATAAAAACAGCAGAACAACACTTCTAGTTAAAAATAATCCACACATATGTCTGAAATGTAGCTCATAAAGGATTTATTTATGCAATTTGGTACATTCTAACATCAGAGATACCATTGCCTCATGGTGGCCTTGCTGGTGAATAACTGATTAAATATAAATTGCTATAATTCCTTAGCAGTTAAAACATTTTTTTAAATCTCATAAATTAAAGCTGATTACTTAATACCAGATCAGTTGTGGTGGCACAGAGACTCAAAGGTAGAAGACACATAAAACAAAGTTCTTCAATGGCATGGCGACATAGCTTTATTTTAAAGGGTCAGTAGACCTGTGTAGTTAGGTGAAGAGTACTTTAAAAAAAATATAAATGATGTAATTAATAGGTAGTTTAGCAAAGCTAGTTTGAGTTTCAGCTCACAGCTTGGTGATTCAATTCTGGCAGCTGTTTCTTGATCTTATCACTGAGCAATGGTTCCCTCTGATTTAGCAGAATATTTTTAGCAAATGATCATTGATCTGTTTAAGATGCCAGCAGCGATGTGGTTCGATTTCTCGTCTACCAAATCCCGGTCTTATTTTCTCACAGTTTCCCAGTGAAGGGGAAAATCTTTGTCTCAACATAAAGGTACTCTCAAACGGCCGTCACATAAAGCTGACATTCCCATTCCTTTCTTTTAATCCATCTCCGTCACTGTCATTGTAACCTCGGTAATGCTCCTTTTCATAACTCATCTTTATTCACCCTGTTTGACAGCAGGGACTCAGCCTGAAGATAAAAAGCCCTCCTGCATTTTCTCCTTCTTGACCTCCTTTTGCTTCTTGAACGACAAATCACTGACAACTGCAGATGGTGCTAATGGTCACACCTGAAGGCAGAGTGTCCATAATACAATATGCAGAGGGCAGAATAACAAAGTGCGAAGCTGCATCTGACTGCAGCTCTTCTGTCAGATCTCCCACTGACTGTCCATCTGTGTGTGGCAGACTGACCACAGTCTGTGTACTTGAGGCCAGTGTCACCTGATTCATTTTCAATATCATACTTTTGTGGTCAACTGATGATTATTGATGATATGTATATAATTTTTTAAATTTTTTTAGAAGTTGCTGAAAACTTCCTGGATCCCAGGGTTGCTTGATTTATCTGTCAATGATTTCAAATGATTTACAAAATTAAGATTTACTATTTCATAACTACACAGAAAAAATATTGTAAAGAAAAGGTCCAACTACAAGCACCACAGTGGCCATAATGCAAGACAGACCCCACTCTTAAGAGCTGTTCTCAAATGCTTTTTACTTCTTAATTAGACATAGGTGTAAAAAACAAAGCAAAATACAAATAATTTATATCCTTAGTTTTTCTACAAGGCTGCATGGCAACTGCTTTCAAAAAGGTCTGTTTTTATTGTAATACCTATACTGATTTCTTAAATCTTGTCTCCAGTGACGGAGCCCAGTGCCCATAAAATGATACTTATGCACAAAAAACTAAACTAAAACTAAACATTTTCAAAGAATAAAAACTAAACTAAAAGAAGCAAACGTACTTACTGCAACTTACTGAAATTGAAATTTCAAAATAAAGAAATAAAAATAGAAATAAATAAGAAAATACAAAACCTTAATCATTATTTAACAGATGGAAAATATGGTAATTGCTAATAATTAAACAGCTAATGTTAAGGGTGTACAACATTTATGATTGTTTAATACTGAAATACTTTTGTTGTTGAAATAGAGCTTTAATGACCTCAGAAATATTTTTATTTTTATTTTATGAAGCCCTGGGTTTCAGGCTTTAAGATGTTTTGCCAAGCTTGTTGTGCTGCTGTTCATGTGTTCAGCTGCTAGTGGTGGGAGGGGCTTGAAGCATGCCTGTCTGCAGGGGTGCTCTGTTTTTGTAGCTGTAACATGTTAGTTAGCAACAAGTTGCTGCCAGGTTAACTGCTTCCTTTTCCTCCTTTTACTGTTTATGCTAAGTTGGCTGATTGTATCCTGGTTGCAATGCTTTTAAATGGACATTTACAGGTAAAAAACAGTTGCGTACACAGGAGCCTGCCAGTTGTGCTACTTTTGCATGAAACCTTTTTTTGCTAGCAACCAAGCATATTTTAATCTGTCATCCAGTTCATTTTTTTAGCCAGTATGTAAACTTAAAAGGGTAAAAAGACAAAAAATATAAAGTGTTCTGTTATACCACACTCCCCTCAGCATTCATCCTGTCCCTAATATCTTCTCTGAATAATAATGTGTATAATAAATCAGACAGAACTCTCTCCAAGACCTCTCTCTAGCAGGTGTCTAACCTTGAATTTTCCTTTAAGTGGAATAAAGTTAAAACAAAAACTCCAGAGGGTATAAAGAAGTCTAGTTTAACTTTATTTTTTGATGGTTTTAGCACTTTTTTTTCATTGATTAATTGATGTGTCCTAGTTCTGCTAAGTGTTGCGTTATCTCAGATGAGCTGTTCCTTTTAGGTTATCCCCACATTCTTTACTTCACAAAGGAAGGATGAAAATGTTGTGGGATTTAAGAATATTTAGATTTCAGTTAGAATAAAGAAAGACTTCCATTTTGTAGTGTAAAAATTTCTACAAGCGACCTGTTTTTCCAGCAAAATGACATCCTCCTGGAACATTGTGGAAATAACCACATGCAAAAATGAGGAGCTGTAAGAGTGGTGCTTCACATCTGACATGTGGCCTTGTTGTTCTGGATGCTGTTTTTTGACTCAGGTGCTCCTCGCGCGCTGTGCTACACTCAAACAACAAGTTTCATCTTGACGGTTTTCTCATTTGTTCATCTGTCTGCTGAGTGTGTGGCACCGCTGCTGTGCGCTTATTAATAATACATCCTCAGTGTCTTTGTAGTGACAAGAGCCCTCAGACCGGTAATGCTGCGAAAGCAGACTAGCTCTGCTGTAACGCTCAAACTGATCAAGAGTTTACACAAAGCTTTTGCCTTCCAGAGAAAAACATCGTAGACATTGTGGACATGAAGGCCACTCTGTTGGTTTGTACAAGCTCTGCAGAGGCAGGAGCTGTGTTTGTGTGAAAAAAATACTAAAGTGAATGTGTCTGTGAGTTTTAGCTTTAACAGATAGTTTGGGGATTACACTGCTGCGGTCATAACGCCAAAACGTTTTGTTTCTGTGCATCGTTTTCTCACAGGGGATTCGTTCACGCATTTCCGGTTTGCAGAAGAAAAAGAATGGGAGATGGACCAGCTTGATATCAGTCAGGTAAAATTATATCACCACCGCTCCTTTTTAAAATTGATTTATGGAGTTTTAAGTCTTTAAAATACACAGCAGTTACAGTTATAAAGAATATTCCGATTAAGATATCAGATTCATACTGTTGTTGTAGTACAGTGTTCATGTGCTTAATGTTGGACAAAAGTTCATCCATTTATTATGAAGACTTTGAATCTGATAGTGCTCTCACTCACCTAAACTCTGTAGATACAAACATTTGTTTGCAGTCTGTGTTCTCATTTGTTCTCCAGATGGCAGGGATTGTTTTGGACCTCCCAGCTCTTACCCAGATTCTTCAAGAAGTGCCTTTGCATCAGAAACTCGACCTGGAGCCCGAGTTGATTCAGGCAAGTGTTAGCTGATGCCCAGCACACTGTGGTTGGGTGTTGTTCGGGAGGTAAACTTTAACCACAAATATGTTTATATGGAGGAATTAGGTTTTCTGTTTTCTGTGAACAAAAGATTTTATTTGCAAATCATTGCATTCATGTATTACATTTTACACAGCATCCCAACTTTTTGGGATTTAGGGTTGCAAGATATGGCATGGAGGCATGTCAGGTTAAATTAAGTATATATAAAAATAAAACAATAGACTGACCTTTTTGTATTTATTGATACATGTCTGGTTATTTTCACCCAGTAGATTAATACACTGTGTTGATTACCTTCTGAGAAAAAAGAAAATATGGCTTCTGTATCTTTGTGTTTTTCTCAGAGACATGCATGACAAGAGCTGTTTTTTTGTTTTTTTTTACTGTACCTGATGTTTCAGGTCTCAGCACCAGTAGAGTTGCCCAGTATGACTCTAGCACCTAAACAGGAAGTGCCAAAAATGTCCAAATTCACACCTCCATCCACAGCTTCAAAAAGCCTCAGCATCAGCCAGAAAGTCCCCGTGGATGCAAACCCAGTGGGGGGCTCAGGCTCACAGCTTTCTTCCTCAGCTGCTGCTACTGAGACTCTGGTGGATGATGCTGATGAAGAGCTGGACAACCTGCTCAACTTACAGAAACCAGTGTCAGGTGATGTAGGAAACGAGCCTGTCAGCGGTGCAGAAATGGAGAGCGCTGTTAAAGAGAAGGGCAAGTATATTTAATGATAGTCTGTCCCTGCACGTTGAGCGATGTGTGATAGCCTGGGGGAAATGTAGAAGATTAATGTCGCTCTCGTCTTGTCTTGTCTGTGTGGAGAATAGTAAGCTTCAGTTAGCTTAGTGTAAAGAAAGAAATTCATTAATAATATTATACTGTATATTTACTTTGTCATGCACAACATATATCTTTTTGACAGTTGTGTGAGATCATAATCTTTTAACTGGAAAGAGTAAACAAAACATGGCATGCTAGCAGTTTAACCTTAAAAGTGGCCATTGTGAAACTTTGGGACCTAAAGATTCGATAGCTATAGATCTTAATAGAGTTATTATTATTTTTTATTATTTTGGATTGACTAGTTTTTGTTTTTTTTTAAATTCAGTTTAGTTTCAGCTAATTTGCAGAGTGGATTTTTTTGTTTTTTTTATTGTTGAAATTGTTTGGTTTTAGTTTAGATTATTGGGCTCATTTTAGCGTTTTTAGTTATTATTGTATGACGGTCATGTGTTGTAGGCAACATTTGGAAAAATCAGTACAGGTATTACAAGAAAAACTGCTTTTTGAAAGCATTTGACTCACCGACATCCAGAGTCTCAATAAACAGCCATCAATGGCTCATTAGGCAAGATGTAATAAAATTGTACCCAACTAAAAAAAAATACTAACACTAAGGATCTTTCCTACATATTTTTATTTTAATTAGTTTTTACCCCTCAGCCGTAAAAAACTGATCGCTTATTATCTTTACCCTGCCAGGCGGTCAGGCAACGTGGACCTAAGCATGTAAATACATTTATTTATTTTTTAAAGTATTTCTTTTTAACAAAAAACAAAACAAAACAAAAAAACCTACAATTTTAGGATTTTTTTTTTTTCCCCCCCACACACGTGGTGTTAGATTAACTACTAGAGAGATAAGATAAGCTACCAAGGATGTTAACTTCCACCTTTTGTGCTGACAAGTTACTTTGGGCAATGTTTAAAGCCTAATGTTAACGCAAAAAAAATTGAAGACTAAGCAGGTTGTTCTTTACATATTGAAAAATATCCAGCTATTTGCAGTAATAGCTGGATATTTATTAAGCAGCAAATTAAGACATTTTCTTGAAAGCAAATTTTTCAGTTGCACTGAACACTTACCGGTTCATACCACAGAAGTATTAATTTTTTTAACACTTAGTATTTTAAATATAATAATGTTACTGAGTTTTAGAGACGCTGGATGGTTGTTGATTTTATGCTTTGCATGATTGCAATATTCACATGTGGTGTAATCAAAGCACAGATAATAAAGTTAAAATTACTTAGCAGAAGGCAAGTTTAGAGGAAAGACTAAAAATATGTCTCCCATCATGTTATTAACCTGCAGAATGTGAGGAAGTGAAAGACGTGACAGCAAAGCCAATAGAAGAGAAGATGATGGAGGTGATGAAGGACAAAGACATCGCACCTCCACAGTCTGCGCCCAGCAAACAGGAAATGACTGAGGAAGACCTGGAGGACTGGCTCGACAGCATGATCTCCTGACCCTCAGGGAACTTGGTCATGGCAGTTCAATCGCTTCAACTTCCATCCTTTGAAAAATTACGTCCACCTGGAAGTTTATGATGCTAAAGTTTGATGCTTCCTCGTTTCACACGGACCTGCCCCCCCCCCCGTGCTGTAAGAGAGGCAATATGTTTTGTTTTGGAGGTGTAAAGGTTGGGACAGTACATCTCGAACATTTGTGAGTGTATGTCAAAACGTTCCTGGAGCACACCCTGTTTCAGAGAGAATTCTCTGTTCCCTGTGAAAGTTTTGACTCTGGAGTGTTTTGCTTCAGAGGATTGGTGACAGACGGGTAGTGAAAGAGGTCACAGACGACACGTTTGGTTCACTGCGTCACTTACTTTATTCATTTTCTTCCCCTCATCAAAAAAGAAGTGCAGTTTACCAAAGCTACTACATACATATAAATGGCCAGACAAGAGCGGGTAACCAGTTTGTCGTCAATAAATTCTCAACCCAAGTTTTGCTGTTTAATTGTCCGTTTGTTGTGGGGTTCCTCTACTGTAGAAACAAGTGCAGGTGGGCAGGACACCACAGTTCAGGAACAAAACCAAACTAAGCAACATTTACACAAGGATCATCTAGATATTATACAACAAATATTTCTTTTTCTTTTTTTTCTTTTTTTTAAATGTAAAAGCCCAAAACTAGCTTTACCTAAATTTGCTTATAGCTAATCCAGAACAGAGCACTGCTTGTGTTAGGAGGGGCAAAAATGATATTTTTTCTCTTTTGCATAGTTTTTTTTTTTTTCCCATAAGGCACATCGGCACTTGATAAACACCTAAATTGAGAGTTGTCTCTGGTCCTGGAAGAACCATCTTCATGTCATCAGACAGGTTTGAACCAGCTTTGAAAGGCAAATCAGGTCTCACTCTTTGGATGTTAACTAGATCATTACTAGCAGCACACATCCATTCACTTGTGGTTTGGGTAGGAAGTGACCATAACATCCTGGCGCTAATCTAGAAATTGTGCATATTCCGACATTCAGTTGTCATGCTGTAACCCTTCACAATTATCAGATGTCTACAAACAACAAATTGTGCAGCAGGTTGGGGTTAAGCAAGTGAAAAAAGGCAATGTGAATCAGAATTAAAAGAATTATTTGCATAAAAGAGGCGTAGTGGCAGGAGACTATTTCAGTAACAACGAAGAACACGCAAACCCGAAATGTCCAATCGTCAGTTGTAAATTTTAGAGTCGTTATGTTTTGCGTTTGTGTCAGAATTCAGATTTTTTTTTCCTCTTTACATTTTTCGACACTATGACGGTGTGTGTTCTGGTAACAGGGTGAAGTCAAGTTCAATGTCTTTTTTCCAGGTAGAAGCAAAGTGGAGATTGGGGTTCAGAGCAGCAGACGAGGCGACCCGCTCTAACCCAGCTGGTCCTCATATTGCTTACGGAAGCAGTCTCCAGTGGGGAAGAAGTCCCAGCATCTCTCCTGGTACATCTTCCACACGTATGACTCCTGAAAAGGGAAGGGAATGATTTAAAGGGTCCACGGCTGCACATAGTTTTGGTTATACTCATTCACAGATCTTTTTGTACTGTTCGGTCTTGCTGACCTCTGTCCTCAGAAAACTGTTAGGGCCAGATTTACCTACAATCTGCGTCATCACAAAAACCTCCTTTGGCTTTAAGAAGCTACTGTCGTGCTTTTACTAAAGAGGCGCAGAGTCACCTTTGCAAGTCAAAGATGTGGACACAGGTGTTTCTGTGGCTTGCGTTATTGCATGCATGCATGCCAACGTAGAAAAAAGCACATCTTATTTTGAACTTGATGTGGTTGTGATAGTTGCCGCAAGGACTGTTCATTTATTTGAAATGAGAATGGGAGAGTATCTTGCACAGGTGGATGCCTCAGAGCTCGGAGTGCAGTGCCAGAATTTCTCCTGGAACTCTGGGTCCCACATGAAATGGATTAACTAATAATCCCAATAGAAGACACATAGATGCATCTTGTTTTAGAGAGAGTGGAGCAGTTTTCAGTGCTTTAAGCTTGGTCACGTTTCTACATAGAGATCAATATATTATACAGACATCTGTTTGTCTTTTATCAACAGTGTACACTTTTTTTTAGACTCCTATATACTCCTACACACCATATTGAAGTATTAATATATTAAAGTGTGTTAGTTTGTTTGATTAATGTCTAAATGTTACGATATGTAATATTGACTATAGTAATTATCTACAGTGTCACACCGCATGCAGAAAATAAAAGCGATGTGCATTAAGCCACATGAACACATATCTAATTTGCCAATCACACGGCAATGACTCAGCAGACAGGGTCAAGACAATTTCTGCTGCAATATTTCGATACTGGTCAGAATTTAGCATAAACAATGTGAAAGTATCCACCCTGTCTCATATCAGTGGGTCAGCCCGATGTTGATGGCTTAATAGTGTGGGAGATATTTTGTTAACACACTTTGGGCCCCTTAAACCAACTAATTTGAACACCACAGCATGCCAGAGTATTAGTGTTAACCATGTCTGCCCCCCCCAATGTGTCACTGACCACAGTGTACTCGTCTTCTAATGGCTGCTATCTAACAGCACATCATGCCATGTCTCAACATCATTTTGAGCTGATTTCTTGAATGTAACAGTGAGTCTAATGTACTGAAATGACCTCTAATGTTATCAGGTCTCAATCTAATCCGGAACTGAGAATTTGAGATTCATATCACGGGCGTGTAGCTGATGCCATCAAGTCAATATGGAACAAAATCTGTTGGCAAAGGAGGGTCCACCTTGGTACTATCAATGTGTACCTAATAAATAGTCTGTGTTCATTGTTATAACAGCAGATCGGCCGTTACGCAGATTACATTTTTATACAGTAGAACAGGATCATGACGCAGCCCTCCTCTTGATGAATCCTGTGCGCCACCTGAGTCTCAGACCTCAGGACCAAACGCAGGCGGCAGTAATTTCTGGCAGAAGATTTCGCCCTTATATGAAAGACGTTCAGTTTGTCTTATTTATTTATTTCTTTTTTTTAAGAGAGGAACGCGTGTCTGTGTTTATGCAGTACTTTTGTTAGCACATTAGTCACTCGCTCATGCTCCCTCATCAGGTCTGTCTGTTCTTGGCCCATGAATAGACTGACTGCATTCTTGTTTATAAATCGGTGGCTTGTAAGCAGATTAGCCTCAGAACTTTTCCTTCCCATCATTACGTTTTTGCAATTGCACTATCATGGTAATAAGCCTTGCATAGTAAATCTGGCCCTTTGTGTCACAAATTTCAGATGGTCTGACTGCAAACGATAGAACACTTGTTTAGTTGCATTAATACTATGATGATATATGATGTTGTGAAATAGTTTCATCCCATCTGCAGTGACTATATATCCCGTCAGTAGACAGATTAAGGATGTAGCTCAACGGCATGTCAGTGATTACACTGTTTTTGTGACTTATTCACTCCTAGTAGCTGAATGCGGTCCCTTGCAGCTTAAAGGAATAACAACTGCAAGCTTTCTATTTCTTTGCTAAATTTGTATCTTAAGAAAAAGTACACGAACATCAAACAGAAAACCAAGTTGAATCTCAGGTGCACAACAATAACAACTTAATATCAGAAGTCAAAGGAAGCCCACGCATTGCTTCTTTCTCCAGCAAAGCTGTACCTTGTGCAACATTTCAACCCACTTGATATGTTGCATAAGTAAACCTACTGAAGTTAGAGTCTGTTACATTCCAGTTTTTCCTTTTGTTCTTTTGAGATTGGTCACAGACGGCAGATTATGCATATCGTGTTTAAAATGACCAAATACTACAGACTGGTGTTCGCTCACATACCTGACCCGTATGCTCAGTCTCATCCTTGTTAATCAGATACATCAGGAAGAACCTGCAGACAGGAGGCACAAGTGTTAAAGGGGGAAAACTTCAGTCACATTACGTTTGGTCATATTTCTGTACTTACAGGTAGTTGGCTAGGTTGTGCTCTTGTAAGGTGTGAGTTTCAAAGCCATGAGGCGTCCGGTCAAAGTAATCATTCCCAATTCCACAGATGAAACATTTGGTCTGGAAGACAAATGAGTGGGGATCGAAAATTAGTGATGACTGTCATCATCCTATTTGAACCTGCCAAGTAGATTTCTGCTAATCAGTTTTTTCTTGTGAAATATGTTAAAAGAACAATAATTTGAATTATTGAAAGCTAAAATGGAAACAAATGCAAATAGATGCAAAACAAGAAAAAAGTTTGCCATACATTCTGGTCAAGTCACCTTATCAACATTTAAAAACAACAAGTATTGACCAAAGTGTCGTACAACTGAGAGAATAAAACAATTGGAGCAATAAAACATTATATTACAGACAAATAGGAGAAAAATGCCTAAATTAATTATTGCCTGCAGTTATTTGTAATATTTATTCTCAGTTAATTTATCAGCACATTTATTTATTTGTGCCAGTTTTGTTCCTCTGCACAGTGTGGCTCACAGGAATAGACAATTAATTAGACAATTAAGTTAGTCTGTGGCACAAGGGGATAAACTAACTAATGAAGAAAACACTCAAAAACAATTCGAGTTGGATTGACTGACTATAGGATTATTACATCACCAGCAGTGTAGTGACCAGAGACTGTTTAAAGTCAATGATATTTGTCAACTTCACGCAACGATGGGTGAAATAATCACCGGTGATTAAAAGTCAAGTTAAACTTTTCTCTATTTTTAGACAAACAATTGAACCACCAATGAGAACACAGGATTCCGGTCATTAAAGTTATGATGGGGTTGTAAAAGCATTAGAGGACAAACAGGTATCAAAGGTCTGTTTGCAAAAACCATCAGCTAAAGAGCGATGGAGGCAAATAAATTGCTTCCTGTGTTCATGCTCCTTAACTCACATAAAGCAGGAAGGGAATACTGTCACTTGCTGAAGCAACAATATAGCTGGCAACAGACAGCTTGGCTAGAGCAGAGTCTTACCTCCATGTCTTCTTTCACCTGCTCCTGTTGGTCTCTCAGCTCACCAAAGGCATCAATGATTAAACCTGAAGAAAGGTGCAATTCTCTGTTAGAGGAGCATGAGAAGAAAACAAAGACCTGTGTGGTTTTTAACTTAAACGCAGATAATGAGAAATAGTTTCACGTACCCTGGATAATGGCCAGCAGGATGACGATGACAAAGAAGAAGAAGGTGATGTCGAACAGGATGCGGTAGAGCTCGTATGGGTCTCCAGCTGGGTCCTCTAACTCATCTCCAATACCTCCTCCAGCTCTCACACCCACGTACATGTGGAACATATAGCACTACAGAGGGGCGGAAACAGGCATTAAAGGAAGCTACACCTCATTCAGTGTTGGCTGGGAAGTATGAAAGTGGAAACTTCTCTTTTTTCATTCTATATTTCAAACTACAAAACATGGCTGAAGACTGAGTGTCACTGGAGATGCAGCTGGAGGTTCTGAGCCATCTATTAGAGTAA